GTTATACATGCAATAGGCTAGGATTAACTCCCACTGAATGAGGTGGTGTAGGATTCTTAATGTAATGACAGTACTATTATTTAGTAAATAAAGTCTCACATTTTATGCTTATTCACAGTAAAAAAAAAAAAAAAAAAAAAATATTTTATTATAAAGCCAGGGTATGGACCCACCTACTTGGTGTAAGTTGGTATTTTGGTAAAAAGGGCGAGTAGCAGAAGTTAATATTAGCAATAGTTAATATACTGATCATGTATAGATAGTTGTGATCCTAATCGATTGACAATAAAATTTTTGCGTGTATTACAACTTAGCCCTTAAAAAAAAAAAAAAAAAAAAAAAAAAAATTATTTTATTATATTTTGAATAATTATTAAAGAAAATTTTTATTTATAAAAAGAAAAGCAAAATTATTTAAAACATTACTATATTAATTACTTTTAAACTTCTAATAAAAATGTTTTTATGGTTTTTTTTGTAAAAAATTATTTAAAATTATAGATATATTTGGAAATTTTAATTTTGAGCTACAAGGTTTCAAAGTAGCTATACTATTTGAAACTATATAAGTATTTTGAGAATTTTTAAATTATTATAATTTTATAAATTTTAATACAATAAATTTAAAGATTTGTTAATTTAATTTATAGATTTTTTACTTTTTTTAAAAAAATTTTATATAATTTTTAAAATTTTAAAATATTTTTTTATAATATTAAAAATAAATATAAAATTTTATAACATGTAAATTTAATAAAATAATTTAAAAATTTGTTAATAATAATATTATTATTATATTTTTTTTATAAAAAAATTGTTTTTTTTTAATTTACTATTAATTAAAATTTTAAAAATTTTAAAAAACATTTTAAAAAGTTTTATAATATATTATAAGTATTACTTTCAATATTTCATATTTCAACTTTCTTTTAATTTTGTACAATTTTAAAAATAAGATTAATATAACAATTTAATAGTTTGCAATACTAATTTTATCTTAATATATTAGTTTTTAACTCAATATTCGATTGAATTTAGTTTTTAAAATAGTATTAATAATAACAAATCAATATAGTTTAGTATAATATAAAATAGTTTATAAATAATAATTTCTGTAATATAAGAAATATATATATAAATCAAATAAAGCATATATTTAAGCAAGGTCTTGCTAGTTAATTAAAAAAGAAATAATAATTATAATTATATTATTTACAAATTAAAAAAATACTTTCTAAAACCTATAAATTAATAATTTGTATATATACAGTATATATCAGAAAAAATATTTAAAGTCAATTTATATGTTATTTTATTTACTATAATATAAAGTTTTTTGTTTGTTTTTTAATTTTTTTACAAATATTATTAATATATTATATAAGTTTATATATTTTTTAATTTTTCTTTTTAAAAAGATTTTTTTTTAATTATATTTATAAAATATTTATAAATAGTCTTTTTTAATATTATAAATTTAATGTTATTAAAATTTACTATTTGATTTTTTTAAGATATAAGTAAATATAAACTTTCTGATTATATCTGTTTTGTTAAAAAAATTTTTTTATAAAAATTTTAAATAAAAAAAATGTTTTATACTTTTTATTACAAATAAGCTTTAGCTCAAAAACTCAAAACAACTGATATAGTGAAATATGACTTCTGATTAAAGTTTATTCAAGTTTAAGAGTTTTGTTTATCTTTTGATTATATAAAGAAAGGCCTGTAACAGTTTTCTTTTCTTCTGATCTCTTGTATCTCTTCTTATCTTTACTATATTATAAAAACTATTTATATTAATATTATTATATTCACTAAATCAAACATTTTCCAAAAAACAAACTCAAATAAAGTTGTTAGGTCTATTATTTGTTTTAATACAATCTTTACATATGATTTTATTATAGCACTACTTACTACATCACTTTAAAATTTTCAAAATTTCTTTTTTAAAAAATCAAAATTAGTTTATTCCCTTCAGATAATTGGTACTTTCCAATCATCCAATCAGATTTCATCAAAATAACAAAACAAAAATTAAACTTGTTTAAACTGATTTTTTAATATAATAATAATAACAACAACTATTATAACAATAAATAGTATCAATTATATTCTACTATCTATGCTAATAAAAGTTATGTTTCTAAAACCAGAGACAGTCCAAGAATTGAACAATTGGCTTTCTTTTAGATATTTCTTTTATTTATATAGATCTTATATTTTAAGTAACTTAGTTTTAGTTTCTGTAGCTTATATTATTGTAACCTCAATTTATTTTTCTTTTCAATTTTCTTTTACTTTCTATTCTTTTTATGTTCAATCAAAAAATTTTAAGTAAGTAGGCATAGTCATTATTCAACTATATTTAGTATATATAATATTGTTTTAAAATCTTTTTTGATATTAGCTAGATATAGATATATAAGCAAGCTAACATTTAACTTGTTCACAATATATAATACTATAAATAAAGAAATGATATTTATCTACTGAAAAAAAAAGATTTGAGTAAATATAACTACTTAAGAATCAAAAGATATTTATATAAAACAGATATGATAAAAATTGATGAAGTATGTTTTTATTAGGTTTTAATATTCTTAAATATTTATATTAAAGATTCAAATACTTTGTCAATTAAGATATTTTGAGATTTATCAAAATTATTGAAGTTAAATTTCATTCTTTAAATGTTGAATATAATATTTTGATTTGTTTTTAATACCTCGAAATTGGATTATGTATTTAGTAGAGATCTAAGCTTAATTTGGATTTATAAAATTATTATTAATCAATTTCGACTAATGTTTTGAAGTTGTTTGTAAGATAATTAAGATTATTCTTGTAATCTATACATCATTGCAAACAATGTAGATTTAATATCTCTCTCTTTGATATTACATGATGGATATCTACCGCTAGTAACAGAATCGCCATTATATATTCCCAACATTATATACAAAACTGTTTTAAAAACCTCACCATAATTTATATATAGCCCTTCTTGCCATATGTATATTCCCGAAATTATAACGTTTCTTAAATCATAATTTGAAAAGGCAAGTACTATTTTATTTCATTAATCAGACATAATAGTTCGAATTATAATTGAATTCTTGAGTGTTGTTCAGCAATTAATTATACATGTACTTCGTTCTAGTGTTATCTATAAAGATGCGTTAGGTACATAATCACAGTTTATTACTGTAGTATTATAGTACTCATCTCTATAGAAAATCATTAAAAATCACGATTACAAAACAAATAAGCTACAACAGTACGAAAATTTCAGAGCTAAGGTATAAAATGTAAGTGTTTCCCTCCTGCTTATATCAATTTTTAATCCTCTGATGCTAAAATCCTAAATCTTCCTGGATAGCAGAGTGAGGCGACAAAATAAAGGTTTGATGGGAGATTAGTCCATGATGGAACTGGTGGATATCTCACACCGTTAACTGAAAATGTGACCGTCTTACTATCCATGTTTAGGTGCACAGTAATTTTCACATTATCCTGTATGAAGCCTGGAACATTCGTAGATTGACTATTATGGTAGTAGAACCCACCCGAGCCCAAAACCCATCCATGTAGTTGAAATCCTGCAAAATTAGAAAAATCGAGACCTTCGTCACAGATGCCCACCCAAGCGCAACCACAACTTTTTTCGATTAGAACATGAAATTCATGAGTTCCATTACGCATGAGACAATTTGTTCTTACATTTTGATGCTTAGTTATATTTAGAGGCGCACTAATTGTATAACCATCTTCACTAATATTTAAACCAGGACCACGGCCGTCTCTATCCCATTTAATTTGAGAAATGCCGTAATATTCTGATAATGGTTTTTCACAGGCTTGAAATCGATATG